CAAAGGCATTGCATTAGACATTATACAAGGTATCATCCAGGCAACTCAGGATGTAGTTGTGACATAGAAAGTCCTAATGCAACCACGCTTGCTTGGCAGCTTCAGTTTCAGGAGTGATTGCTTCTAGGGGAGTAGTTGGGCATACCTCATTTAGGATGTGAGCAAAATTTAGGGTGGTGAGATAGAAGATCATCTTCTGTTGCCATCTTTTGAAGTTTTCTCCTTTGAACTTTTCTACTTTTTCAGCATGAGATTTGACAATGGTCGATCCCATCATCGAAGAAGCGTTGGTGGAAGTGTTTGCAGCCATCAGGTAACTGTCTTCAAATTGTTGGGTAAATATACGATGTATATGTAAACTGAATAACACTGGTAAATAGATTACAACGTAACTGGCTAAAAACAATACAAATTCAGACAAATTTATGAACACCACACACTTGATTAAATTATTTAAGGCACGCTTCAATAGTGCTGACCTGAGGACAATTATTCGCTCTGCACAAGTTGCTAGCAGACTACAGCGATCGTCTCAGCAGGATACAACGACTAACTTTGGTAGAACTGCAACCTCGAACTACTCTAATCTGGCAGAACTCTTAGACACTTGCTTTCAACACAAACAAGAACAAGAACTCAAAAAGAACAGAGAATTCTTGTGGGAGGAGGAGAATACCCAATTGTTGTATGCTTGGATGTCTCAAAATGAAGAAATTCACAACTATAGATAGTTGTCCAAACACGTAACCTATCACACAAAATTAAACACATATGTAACCTTTTTGCATATGTTACATGTGTAAATTTAACATATATAAAGTTACAAATTAACAAAATAAAGAAACAACTTTTTTCATTTAAATAAATAACTCCAAATTTAATATTAAAAGAAACAAAACCACAAACATATTCACAACGTATATGTGAATAAGTTTCTTACACTTTCTTTAACACCTTCAAATCCAACATCGGGATCATCTATTCTTTGAGTGGCCTTTTAGTTGGGAGGTTTGGTCTGGCATAATTGCTTGAGCTGATTCTTCTCACCGGGTTTCATATTGGTCTATTGAGCTTGCTTGAGTTTGTCACATTAGTGCCGGGAAACCTGCTCGTTGTCGTGTGTGGTGCTTGGCATGGACTTCAACTATTTCTTTTATCTGAAGGAGCGTAATGCTAAAGTTCATACGGGTGGGGTTTGGGTCGGTCGCCTTCTGTCCTCTTACACTCCTTGAAAACTAAGGTCTATTATCGTTGTACTACATGACCTGAGAGTTGTCGTTTGAGTTATGAACCTATGATTAGTGACTTGAAATTTTTTTTCTTGTCTTGTGTTTGCACTCTAGGTGTTGTGAGATTTTTTTAAAATTTTTAATATATCTACCTTTGCAAAAAAAAAAAAATTACCTTTAGCTCAGGGCCATTGCATGTTAGCCCTTGATCATATAGCTATACGCCTGTGTTTGAGCTCGCATTTGGGTGCGTTTATTTATTTATTTTTTTGAAATTCTTATTTATATTTCTTTTTCCATAATTCATGATTTTTCTATATTTTCTCTAATTATGTTTTTTTTCGTGAGTTTTATAAAAACAAAAAATTTTAGTCAATTTTATTTTTTAGAAGGAAAACAAATCATAAATAAGGTCAACATTTAAAAATGAAACAAAAAAAAGAGAAATTACAATTTTTTAATACAAATGTTTTTTTACAATAAAATATGTAGATTTAGGAAAAAAAGAGTTAAAAAAAAAAGGAAAAGGAAAATGATATATAAGTTGGTGGGTGTCTAATTGTTGCATGAATTCCAAGACTTTCTTTTTTTTTTTATTTATAGTTACATATATGTAATTTTTTTTAATATAAATTCTTGTCCTGGTATCTTCTTTTTTTCTCTCTCTGAATCCTAATTTTTTGATATTCCATAATGCTGCTATATATAATTTTTAATTTCAAATTTTCACATTTTAAAGTAGTCGAAAATTTTGAGATTTATTCTTTTAAGGTATATTTTTATTAACTTTAGATCTTATATATTATGAATTTGACTATCTGACATTATTTTTAATATAATATTTAGTAAAAGATTAGACTAGTTATCATTATTATTTTATTTTATGCTTTAACTTTTTATTTTATTTTTATTAATACTCATGTAGATTTAATTTGGAATATAAATTAAGAGATACTATAAAGAAAACAGATGAAATCATCTTGAAAACTAATAGTAGTCCTCATAGATATTTTATAATAAATAAATTTAGAAAAATTATCGACTATTTAAGACCAAGTTTGTAGCATATTTACCAAAAGGATTTCGACAGCCTTAGAATTACTTTTTATGAATTCTTGTAAATTAGTACAAAGTCTTTCGGCCAATTTTAATGATAACCATAATTCAATAATACTAATATAGAATATAGATTCAAACTTACAAACTCTTTAGAGATAGAGATGCCTTAACTCTTCGTTCGCAATAACTCTAACACTTTTCAAAACTTCTCGAACCCACTCATATGCAAAAATATGAACAATTTGGAGATTACTTACTTATTTCTTTGAAATGTCACATGGGAACCATCGGAAGAACGACATATAATGTAGGAATGAATCATTAACAAATCTTCGAATTAATCTTCTAAATATCTCCACTAAGCATAGTGCTAAAAAACCACTACCTAAATATCTCTTTAATTTGTTATAATGGAGGTTTTATTTTAATAAAGAATAATCTTCATGGAGTTCCAATTAAATTGTTAATTTACTTTGGCCATTTTGTGACCTAATATATATCATCTCTTGCAATTATCTATAATTTCCAGGCCACTTTTCTTGTGATCTTTGTGCGCATGGTTTGAATTTTTTGAATGGAACATTCTTAGTGATGTTTTAATGCAAATGACACACAGCCAAATTTTCACTTCACGCCCTAAGTTTGAAAAAGATCTAATGATATGATATAGATGGAAAGCGATACATTGTCCCAAAGTGTTAAAAGAGAATATCGAAAAGAAATATCGATGAAAATATTATATATAATAAATTAATGATATTCAAATCCTCGTAGTCAAGAATGCTTTAAGGTCTATGGGTAATATGATTTTTTTTCTTCATTGCGCCGTCCCCACTGGATATAGTTAATGATTTTATAACAGGTGTATACTTAAATGGTCCAAATACTATATCTTATACTTTGATTTATTTTGACCTCTATACTTTCAAAACATTCATTTTGGTTCCTGTACTTTCAACTTTAGTCTTTTTATAGAAAAGTATAAAAACTAAAATGGACAAAGTGTTATCGAATGTTGATGTACAAATTTAGCTTTGTGAAATTACCAAATTCACACCGCACCACTTTTATGAGAGTAAAAATTCGACTATACCGACCAAATAAAGAAAGATTACACACAGGTGTGGTGCTAACCACATACACTCTGATGCTTAAGTCGGAATCGAGTTTGTATGAAGCACAATGAGGAATAGAATTTTGTATCAACCCTTTATTGTGAAATTTCTTTCTTTATTTATATTAGAGGAACACCTAGTTAATAATTCTCTGTTATCTTTTACTTCTCAATGCCTTAGATATCGAGCTCTGAATCAAATGTCCCAAGCACCCATTAATCGAGAGGATGGTGAAGTTCAAAAGGGTGCCTCTAGTCAACCTAGTGCAGACTACCTAGGCCAGGGGTCCTGGTCCTTGAGCCGTGTTTTCATTGGTCTGCATTCTTGGTCTTGATTCCCGTGATCACCATATAAAAAAGTTGATCTGTTGGTTGGAAATTCAAATTATGTTTTTTGTTTTCAGATTCACTAAATAAAATGGATTCGGTGAATACGTATTTGGTAGAATTTGTGAAATTCATTTTTGAAAACTATTTTCGGATTCTGTGATCCAAACAGGGTGTTTTCAAATTCAGAATTTGAAATTTTTAAGATGCAGAATTACATTAAAAAGAATAAAAACTTTGAAAAATATATTACTTGATATTAGAAACTCATTTTATGTTTGTTAAAATTAAAACATAAAAAATATAATGTATTCTAAATTATATAACGTTGTAAAATAATAATTATATAAAATTCATAAAAAATATTATTAAATTAATTAATATAATGTTAGATTAAACTAAATATTCAGTTCGTAAATAACCCTAGTTTACAAATATATTACTAAACACAAGCAATTTTTTAAATTGAGATTCAATTACCAAACACATATCTGAAAACACTAAAAAGAAAAAAAATACAACTCTAGTTTTCATTAATGTCTTGTTTTCATATTTCTGTTTTCTGATTACCGAACCTATAATAAGACAACATTGTGAGAGAGAAACTAAAAGTGCTCTAGTGATGGTTGGGCCATCTGCTTGGTTAGGTTGTGGTATCTCAAAATTATTCTTAACAACTATTTTTTACGCTACTTTTTTTTAGAAATTGTGTTTTTCTATTGTTTATGTATCTAAAATACATTTTAATATATTAATACTTCAACAATTTTAGGTAGTACCGCTCACCATGTATTAAGTATTTATCCATGATGTATGTATAAACTGGTCGAAATTTATATGGATTAATCTATTAATTAAATTTTCACTTTTTCAACAATGGTAACACATTGGTCAGAATAATTTATCACTCTTTGATATCAACCTACATTAGGATAACCTTTATTATTACCAATTTGTTTGCAATGATAAAAAACATTGAACTTGAGAAGCCAAGAAAAAACAAAACAAATGGTAAAAAAAAGTAGCAAAAATGAATAAACTATTTAAGATATTTGTAGTGATTTAAATTCCACTTGGAAAACAAACATTAGTGGACAAACAATGTGGAGTTGGGAATATATTGGTAGATATCCATTGAAGAAAAAACCTAAAAAACTAATTAACTAATTAATATTTGGCATGTGGAAATTTCTTATATTTAGAAAATGCTCTCTCTTTTCCCTATAAATAGAAGAAGCAAATGAAGATATTTTGCATATCACTTGAAGAAACAAAACTTAAGAATATAATTTGAGAGAATGAAGGGTTTTGGAATTGTAGTTCTTCTGGTTTTGCAATCTCTTCTTGCTTTTGCCTTTGATCCCAGCCCTTTGCAAGATTTTTGTGTGGCAATTAATGATGACAGATCTCCTGGTATGTTATGTGTTGTAATTACATGCATGTTTTTTTTAACGTTTAAATATCTTTTGTATTTTGTTTTCTACTCGAGTTTTGATCGAGGAAAGGAATGTAAATTTTACGAAGAAAAGTGAAAATTGATTAGACTTGGAATAAGGTCGAAGTGAGTTTGATATAACTTTTAAATTAAGAATGCTTTCAGTTGTTCAGAAGCATTTTATAGTTTCTTTTTGCAGTTACTCTTTGACTTATTAACACATCACTTAGAGTGTAGTTGTGTGACTTTTTTAAGAGTTTTCAGCGAATTTCTCTATTTTATAAGTATATTTTTTTACTTCCTCCAAAATCACTTTAAAGTATGTTTTAAAGTATTTTTACCAACACTTGGAATAAGCATTATTAATTAAATGTTGTTTTCAAAGTGCCAACCTGAACATAGTTCAATGTTGACAAATGCCTCTTCTTCTAGGGTCGGCAGTTCGATCTTCTCTACTCCAATTTGTTGTATTAAAAAATAAAAATTCTAAAAAGTACTTTAAAAAAATTTCTTTAAATATTTTAAAAATTTCAAAATCATTTCTAACTAGTTAGCTAACCACCCACGTAAATAAATTGTATTTTGCATCATAACATCATCCCAAGGAAATATTTATATATTATGCTAATGTTCATTTAAACTTCCATATGACCATTTATATTTGAATAAGAATATAGTAACAAAATATATCATTACTTTAAATTACATGTTTTTCTTTTTGGCATTAATCTGTTTTACACCTTTCTTATTAATTTGGAAAGTTTCGAATATAAATCATCTGTGTACTATCAACACTCATACACGATTCCATCTTATTAAAAGTAATTAGCTAGGAGAATAATTTATATATATATATATTATAAACCTTTATTATGTCCCTTATATTTTCAATGTATTCCTTACATGCTTGATATATATATATATATATATATATATATATATATATATATATATATATATTTGTTTTTTAGTGTTTGTTAATGGCAAGTTTTGCAAAGACCCGAAGTTCGTAGTGGCAAACGATTTCTTATTCCAAGGACTCAACATCCCCGGAAACACCGAGAATCCAAATGGCTCAAATGTCACCTTGGTTAACGTCGACAAGCTACCTGGACTCAACACTCTTGGCATCTCCTTGGCTCGCATTGACTACGCTCCCTATGGCTTGAACCCACCTCACACCCACCCACGAGCCACTGAAATTCTCGTGGTTGTAGAAGGCACTCTCCTCGTTGGCTTCGTCACCTCCAATCCAGACAACAAACTTTTCACCAAACTTCTCTACAAAGGAGACGTGTTCGTGTTTCCTATCGGTCTCATTCACTTCCAGTTCAACGTCGGGCGTACACCAGCGCTTGCTTTCGCTGGACTCGGCAGCCAAAACCCAGGAGCTATCACTATTGCCAATGCTGTGTTTGGATCCAACCCTCCAATATCTGTTGATGTTCTTACAAAAGCTTTCCGATTGAATGAGGATGTTGTTACTTATCTTCAGCGGCAATTCAGGCCATCTAGTTACTAAATAAGTTTAATTAAGTCCAAATGGAAAAGTAGTCTATCTATGGGCTTATGTTTGCCATCCCTTAAATCTTCAACTTTGAAATAAAAGGGTTGTCTTGTTTTAATTTCTTCATGGTTTCGTCATGCAATGACAATATTTCAATTTTCGTCTTAACTATGAAGGTCCCGTAATATCATGTCGTAAAATATGATTAACAATTTGATGGATTTAATAACATTGAGTACTTTTTTTTAACAAATAGAGGTGAGATATTTAAACTCATGATCTCTTGATTAGAGACAGATGTCAATTACGTTGAGCTAAGCTCATATTGGCATAACATTGTAAAACAAATATAACATCAGATCAAATATTATACAAAATATATAACCTAGTTTTAAAAGACATATCGAATGCCGAACCACTTACATTGGTTTCGAGGAGTTGATATTATCGACTTAATTTAATTAATTAAGAGAGTGACCGTAAAAAATGAAGGAAAAAATCTAGAGAGAATTTCACTTTATTTCTATTTGATAATTAATTATTTAGGTCTGGCTTAAACATTTATTTATTTCTATTTGATAATTAACCATTTAGGTCTGGCTTAAATATTTATTTATAGAAATTGTCAGAGCCTAATTTGAATCCCATTCAAATTCAAGTTACACCTCTAAAATAATTCCATATTTATCTTTATTTTTTTTTATCCTTTTTGATTAAGAAATATCGTAATAGATATTTTCAGAGAAATTTCACCATTAACGGATGATGGCGTAGTTTGTTTTGTGGCCGAATGTGGATACACCCACCTCGGTTTGAGCTCCCGAAACGCATATGTCCGTTGACACCTACCATCATAGGGATCCAACTTGGCGAAGTTGGCGTAGCCGTACTTTCACTCCATAGGATAAACACATACCTAATGAAGCGATCTTTTCCAAAAAGAAAAAAAAAATATTACAAATTTCATCTTTTTTCAAATATAACACAAAGTTTTTTTTAATGTGTCATTAATTACACACTGACTTTGATTTTGATTAAGATAACTCTTGGTTTCAAGGGTTAAAAGGGTCCTAAGTTAAGCATATTTTGAATTATTTGTAGATACATTTTGGTTATAATATGTGCATATCGTAGCTTAATCAGTTTGTATTCATTAAGATTGATACCTTACTTGTGCACAATTATGAGTTATTTGAGTGCTCTTCTTGAGGCAAAACTTGGCAAAATTCTAACTTTTTGGTGGTAGAACAAAACTTGGTTGAAAACTAGGCGGCAGGAGCTATGTTTATTTTTTGCCTAACGAAAAGAGAACAAGGTCGTTTCCTTTAATTCAAACGTCCATGATTTGTGCGACAAATTAGATCTCCACCTTCTCATAGAAGTTACGACCAAATTTATGCCCTAAAAATTCCCAAGAGCTCGAAGAAGAAAGCATCCAACATTGGTGCATTTACTTACTCATTTTCTTTTCTTCTTATTTGGCCAGCATTTAATCTTTAGCTTTAGTTTAGAGAATAGGAGTTTACTTTCTCTTGTACTTTTACTTCCTTTAGATCAAGGAAGAGCCTTGTTGTAATTATAGAGAGTGAGAACTCTTCTTAAGTTTGAAAAAGAAAGGATAAGCTAGCTTATTCAGAATTCCGAGCTCAAGCACGTCCAAAACATCATTTTTCTCACAAACATCAAATTCAAGCAATTTAATTTTGTCAATAAATGAAATTTTCTCTTTCTCCAAGGATGTATTGCCAGTTTCCAATCTAACAATTTCACTTTTCAAACTAGCAATCTTATCATTTAATTCCAAAGAAAAAGATTCAATTTTCTCCTTTTTATTTCTCAAATCATTTAAATCAATTTTTAATTCGCATGCTAAAGATTTGAGATCTCCATTTTCTTTTTCAACAAATTTAATCTTCTCATTCAAAGCATATTTTTTATCACAAGAATTATCTACTTTCTCATGCAATAACATATCATTAGCTCTACTTTTCAAAGAAACATTTTTATCTATCAAAGAATTATTTTTAATAGATAAAGCACTGTACTTCTTTGATAGTTTCACATATTTAGAACTAACTTTTTCTAAATCACATTGCATGCTTTCAAATGCCTCAAATAGTTCATCATGAGTTGGGGGCTTATGAATTACCTCATTGTCATCGCTTTCAAAATCGCTCTCATCATTTGAATGAGCCATCAAGCACAATGAGGATCCATCACACTTTTCTTTTTCAAAAGTTTCTTGATTTTGAGAATTAGAATTCTCCTTCATATCAAATAAGTTATTACTACTACAAGGAGAATTTTCAACATTATACATATTATCAACAAAATTCCAAATATCATATGCATATGTAAAATGTGAAAATTTATCACATATTTTTCGATCTAAAGCACAACATATGATATTTGTGGCTTGAGTATTATAGGAAATCATTTCATCACTTAATTTGGATTTTGATAAATCATTTTCACAAATATGCATAATATCAAAATCAATAGATAACAAAAAGTTTTTCATTCCATGTCTCCAAATATCATATTTTCTACCATCAAAGAATGGAGGTCTATCAATGCAATGACTTCAAGAAAATCTAAAGTTGTCATAGTTCGAGCAATTAAGCTTTTCAAATAATTTTTAAAAAATTAACAAGACACTTAGTATTAAGATAAAATTTGAAAAATAATTTATGTAGAAGAGCGAAACCTCGCTTTGATACCAATTGTTGGATCGATATGACAACCCAATAGGGTTTAACGAAACTTTTAAAACTTTTTACTACGGTGGGCCCAAATTTAAACAAATAAGTAAACTTTTAACAAACAAATGATTTTAACACAAAATTAAACAACAAATTAAAAATACAAACACCCTGTTTAATTTCACCACCCAAATAATTCAAATATGAATATTGACCATAAACATGAATAACAAATTCTAACAATTAATTTCATGCAATTTATAATAAAGAAAATGAATTGCAAAAATTAAATAGAAGAGGGTTAGAGAAAATGACACCGGAAATTTATAGTGGTTCGGCAACAACTGGCCTACTCCACTCCCCAGGCACCTCTTGGGTATCCGATTAAGAAACTTGACTCTTTCTACGGTAGGAGCCAAACCGATAAAATACCTTTTTTTTGGAGTAAGAAGAAACCCGATCCTTTCCATGGTTTATGATCAAACCGTTACAACGCTCTTTTTCGGGCTAAAGAGCAACTCTTACAAAGAATATGAAATTTGAAGAACAATCTCACAAACTCTTTAAAAAGAGTGGATACGCACAATTTTTCACTCACAAATTTGTAAGAAAAATCTTACAAAATAAAGCCCACAAATAGCTTAGAAAAATAAAAATTGAATAACTCAAAATATCTCTCCAATTAAATCTCTCTGAAGAAATTTAGAACAAAAATTGACGCTTTGAAGAGAGATTAACATTATAGAAATTGGAAAGAGTATTGGGAGAGAATGAGTAATAAAATTTGGGAGAAGAAGGATGTTTAAATAGAGGATAAAAATTAAAGAGAATTTTTAAATCAAATTTAAATTTGGACCATTAGATTTCAAATGATGAAAGGTTGAGATTTAGTTGAATATAATAATAATAATAATGATAATAATAATAATAATAATGATAAAAATTTAAAAAATAAACCTCCCAAACTTGCCCAAACGGCTAGAATCCTTTTTTTTTAGCACGATAATATATATATATATCCTTTCTTTCTACACTTTTTTTTTCTTTTTTTCTTTCTTTATCTTATTTTTTTCTCTTTTCATTTCTTTTCACTTTCTTTTATAAACTAAACAATTTCAGCTTGCCACACATATCCTCCTCTATTCGTCCATGTAGGATTCAACTATCACGTTATCTACTTTGGGAATTTATCATTTCAACTTCATTCGACTATAACATCTTTGTTTGAGCTCCGATTTGGATAATTCAAAATCCGTTGGAATCATTGTTTCGAGTTCTACGATGGAACATTAAAATTATCAATAAACAAAATATATATTATCAATAAATCATATAATATTATTGAAGCTCATAATAAATTTATGCTCTATAACAATAATTCTTACACATCAAAAACAATTAATATTAAATGTGTTTGTTATCATCAAAACATTAATTAATTAAATTAATTAACCGAGATTAAGGGCCAAAAAGTCAACAGGTAGAATGTGGGTCTCCAAAACCCGATGTCGTAGGTTGAAGTCCTCAAAGCATGATGTATACTGAAAAGCGACATCAAAATTGAAAAATAAAAAAATAAAGAAATGCGTCAAACCCTAAACAATGTTGCTTGCTTTGAGGCAACAACGCATGCATGAGGGCATGGAACGATGCCGTTTTGGGTGATGTTGAAGCGTGCGTCCGGTCAAATCAAAATGACGTCGTTTTGATTTTGATTTTAAATTCCTCCAGCTTATTAAATGACATCATTTTGGCTATTATTTGGCCCAAAATGGCGTCGTTTTAAAATTTTCTTTCTTCTCCCCCTCTTTTCTTTCCCCGCGCCACAACAAATGGATTCTTGCCCTAATTTGTTCAAAGATTTCAACTTTTTCTCCTCCTACAGCGACCTTCTTTGAGCCGTAAGTTCGACCCCACAAAAATCCCACTTCATGAAAAAAGTCATTGTCGTATTTCGAAGGAGCTTTATTTTACTACCCACTTAGATTACAAGAGGTAAGTATGCATTTACAACCCTATTTTTTTATATGTATGGTCGTTTTTCTCTTCTTTTTATGTATTTTTGTATCTATTTTGTTATTTATGGTTGTGATTAAAGCTTATTTTAGGTATGATTTTGTTATATTTTGATACGCAACAACTCAAACGTATCGACTACTCGAGCATCTAGCCACTTGAATCCAATCGTATAACTGGTTCAACCCGAAAAGCTAAGGGTTATATAGATTACCTTTGTAGTCGTTATCTTGACAGACAAAATACTCATAATTATGCACAAGGCCAGAAACACTCCATGAGTTTGATGACCAATCAAACAACCATGTTCTCCGAAGGCTAAAATATGAGATCCTAAGTTCAAACACACAAAGAAAATCGATATTTTGGGGGAGGGGGAGTTGACAAACCTATTTGTAGGCTA